TTTTTCCCGAAGGGGGGGAGGGTGTAACGGTAGTATAATATTACCGTTGATACGCTTTGTAAGCCGCCGCCGCGGCATGATGAATTCAGTAACCACCGCGTCCCATTGGACGCGGTTAATCACTACAACTGAGAGGGCGCCGTATAACCATATGGCGCCCGTAGAACTATATTCCGAGCGAACGACATATAAACTACCTACGAGAGCTCATGTATCCGTCGTCCTTTTGCTCAATATCACTCGGTTCTGTTCAGTCGCGTCGTAGCATAGCTTTACATAAGCTACGCTACATATACACTTATTACACGATCCTATCCTCGGATTGCATAGAAGTAAGCCAACAAGCTGCAGTGACAAATGTACGCTAGATTCCTTCTCTGTTTACTCGACGTTAACAAATACTCGCTCGGATCCGCGTCTGTAGTAATCCTCCGGAACGTCCTCGACGCAATCGAACGGAAGGCGCATGAACGGGTCAGGAACCACCACCCACTTCCACTCGATCCCATGTGTTCCCTCTAGGATGGCTTTTTGCTGGCGATCGGACTCCCTTTCCTCAACCCAAATACAGGAAGAAGCGGTCGCCTTTTTGTCGTAGCCCGTGACGCGCACGATCATTACAATAGGGTTGGCCGTTCTGACGAGCTGGTGCCGCACTACTTGTCCGTTCTCGTCCAGAACCCGCTTGAACTTGGCCTTGGGCCAATCCGTTGACATTACGTCGCCGGATGCATCTGGGCCAAGCTTTTCCCAGTTCTGCCGTATGCAGCGGCCAACAAGACCATCTTCTGCTAGATGCCAGCCTTTCTTTTCTATCCAGACTTCCGCATCTGCGTAACTGAGCATATATCCGGCGTAGACGGGTGCACCCATAGTACCTGTCCCATACAGTCATGTTAGATGCCATCGGTATGTAACCAGCGCTCGTACCGATTGGAGATAATCAAGTATGCGAAATGGTGAAGGGATTCGTGTAGGCTCCGGTATTAGGCTCAGTTGCATGGATCGCATGTCTTTTAATATCGCAGCACGCGGCATATCCCGACCAGGGCCATTGCCCCCTTCGGTCTACGTACGCCACCTTCGCCTGTGGTTCGCCACACCGTTTGTCTGTGGTTTCGTTCATGCTGCCGACATCAACGTCTCCGCGCCCTCCAAACCATTAATGGAAGAGGATGCTTCCGTCGCTGAGGACTCGGTGGCTCCACGTCAGTGGCTGCCAACGATTCGCGTATACTGCTCTCAAATATGATCTTTGGTGAGTTACGGCATCCCTTTTTGTTTCGCCCATTCGGCGCTTCCGGGCTCCTTGCCTACATCATTGTAGCTATAAACGTATCCCGTGAATCTTATACAAGCTTTATTGTGCCGATTGAGATTCAAATCGCACCCTGCCCCACGCTCCTTCGCTGACATTGTGTCGCATCCTCCTACATAGTAAAGGGCGTCGCGTTTGTGGAATGCAAGACGACTCAGCAGCCCTCCTTGACCCTCCCGCTCGAGATACGATGCACACCTTCCTCAAATGTCATTTCTGCTCACCATGTTTGGCATTGTCAACGTGCAACCAAGGCCGGTCCGCGACATCTCCTACCCGCCATACAGTCATCGTATAACTCACATCCGAGTCAACGACCATCTCCCCCAACCGCTGTACGAGCCTTACGTGGTACCGTACTGCGAGTCATCTCCCGAATATCCATTGGCGAGGAGCATCAGCCCTTCACCCTCTTACCGTTCCGCATCTCCAATACCATCAACGCATCGCTCGCCGTCTACAGCTTTCTCATCAACAGTCAGCTGACCCAGGGCCCCGCCTCCCTCAGTCGAGTCGCCCGGTCGACAGCGAGAACCAAGACGGAGATGCGGAGAGCTCCCACTCAGCGCGCTACTCTTGCCTCTCCTCTGTTCCTGCAGCGAGGGGAATCACTCCTAAGCCGCGCGTGGATGTTTCGTAGAGGCTATGCCCTAGCTGAAGCTATTGACTGAGACGAGGAAGCGTACAAGAAACTGCGCGTAAGTTGCGATTTAACTCTGGTCACGCACGATGCTGAGTCATGGCTACCCATGGATATTCCACAGAACACCGTTCCTCGTCTCGTACATCGACTCTTAGACGAGGAAAGCGTGTCGAACAGCAAGACGGACGCTGCATATGGAGGGTATTCGAGAAGGCGGGTTCCCTCGATCCTCAGAGATGATTAAGCTAAATATATGTGCATGGCAGGCTGCCGAGGCCTTTCCATCGCTGGACCACTACAAGGCGGCATGGCCTGTGACGGACATGATCAAGCTGCGCCTGAAGAGCACGAATGCTATGTATCGCAGGGCACGACGCGTATCGACGAACATGTCATCAGGCGGCCATAGGCGTAGTGGGGGACTCGGACGCATTGATCTCGCATGCTGGTATGCTACACCACAATGCTGGATGCTCCCGAAAATCACGATAGGCGATGCTCGAGCAGCGGCAGGGCCCAAGCTGGCGTTGAACTCTTGTTATTGTTGTGATAATGTACTCGACGTGCACTGCGTTGTATGAACTCATTCACATCTGCATGTATGCTCATAACTGACGCTACTGCATGACGCTGTTCGCAAAGAGCCGGCGAAGCGCGAGCCGTGGCCAGTGAGTATAGGTACATAGCTATGCAGCCGGTACATGAGCAAATTTAGCAACCGGTCTTAGAATCATTCATAGCGGTAGGGGTGGGGGGAAACTTTATCCACGTCATCCCAGGGAATGAGCAGTCTCGCGTCAGGAACAACGACCCATTCCAACTTCGTGCCCGTCTCCTGTTCGAATTCGGACTTGAACTGGAGATCGGTTGGCCGTTCTGGAATCCAGATGCACGTTGACGACGTTGCCTTTGGGTCGCGCTGAGACCTACGGCCGAACAGGATGATCGGTTCGCCCGCCCTCGCGAGCTCAATACAGTCGTCAACTCGACGGATTAAGGCCCTGGGCCACTCGGTAGACATGATTCTCGCGGACCGGGCCAGCTTCTCTTTCGGCCAAGCGCGCTCCATCTCATCGTAGAGGTCGGCGGGGTCGTCAGTAGGCCAACCACGTTTCTTCGCCCAGATTTCAGCTTGGTCGTAGCTGAGTTTGTAGCCTGCGACGACTACAGCTCCTCGCGCCATGTGTTTCTGGGCAGAGAAGAATTTCAGAACTCGTAATTGCCAGGGTAAAAAGACCTGACTGCAGCGCACGAGAAGAGATCGTTATCTTGCTCACCTCTTTGACCCTGCGCTGCTGGCGTTGGGCTTCAGTGAACCAATGTGTGGCACTCCGGTCCGAAGGTCGGGATATTTCCGCGTGACACGAGCTTCTAGGTCTCACGCAGACCTCTCCAGTCTCATCCCCGTGACTTGGTTTTTATGACCATTAAAGCAGAATGAGCATTACGAGCCAGCACCATAACGCTCAAGAAGCATCTCATTTGTATCTGCATCATGCAGAACACCCATCCCTCTGGCTGCGCCAGCCAGATACACGAACCCGACGTCGTCGCGCCAGATCTGGCGCGCAAACGGGATGATGCGAATGCCCCGGGTTGTTCCAAATCTCTCCCCGATACCCGTGCAATCATCATCATTTGGCGATTGCGACACCATGCACAACATTACGACAAGTACCCAAACCACTTTGACATAGGCAATGACAAGTTGAAAACAACGCAGAACATTCATAAACATTCATGAGCATGGGGTACGAACAATGTGTAGAGTGCGAGTTGGCGACGGGGACTGTCAAGTCGTGGAGGCTGCGACAGGAGACCGAGCAGGGTTTGCTTCAGCGCGCATTTCCCGCTGGGCCGAAGAGAGTGCGGGCTTGGGCCGGACGTAGTCCGGCGGGAGGTGGAAGTATACGTCGGGGACGGTTACCCATTGCAGCTTGAGACCGTCCTTTTCGAGTATGGCCTTGAACTTGCGGTCGGATTCGCGCTCTTCCATCGGCTGGCAGATGGACGAGGTCGCGGTCGGATCGTACCGAGTCTGACGTGCCATGAGGATAATGGGTGTCCCCTCCCGAGCGAGCTCGTCTTCCCCGTTGGCGTTCCGCCTGAGCAGCGCCTTGGGCCAGTCGGTCGCAACGACGGATGCTCGCCCAGTCAAGCCCAGCCGATCCCAGGCGCTCGCAATAGCCGACCCGGCGGGCGTGCGATTGTTCGTCAACCAGCCGTGTTTCCGGGCCCAGGCGTCAGCGTCGGGTACGCTGATCTTGTACCCAGCAAACACGTCGGCTCCTCGTTCCGGCATGTTGAATCTGCATTCGAAGTATATTAAGCAGGATATTTGAAGACGAATTCACGTCTTCACCCACCAGGGAGCGTTGTCAGACGGCGTGCGTTCGATCGTGAGGCAACTGGTATAGAGTCTGAGGCAATGCGGGGTGTCCGATGTCGAGCTCTGGCTCTCGGCGCGTCCTCTATATGATCAACCAGCTCTGTCACGTGGGCTACCAGTCACTTTCTTTCGCACGTGGCAACACGGTTGGACCGAGCTTGATGCAAGGAGATAGTGAAATGCTATTGTCTGCAGTGGGTCCGCGATAGCGAGGCTGCCCTCCCGAAATTGGGTCATGGGCAGGCCATTGTTCTTATCACGATTGCTATGCAAACGTTAGCTCTCGCATCGGTTCCAGTCGAATCACCGTACAGTCGTTGGAAACAGCTGACTCCGAAATCAGATCTTCCTATAATAAGATTCACACAAGATTCTGCGTACTGCGTGGTATGATAGCGATGGTACTTATATCACAATGGATACATGACGTGACGAAGACGGAGAAGCAAGTGGGTGCGCCGGAGAACAATGAGGCAGCGAACACGATTCCTGTAATACTATTGTTTTCTATCCTTCTCGTGTGTCTTGCTCACTCTTAGGCGCATAGGAGTATGTGAAATTGAACGTGCTAAACACGATACAACAACGCACGGTACGCCCAGGCCAATTTTGGTCTTGCATCATCTCATTGTCCATCATATCGTATAAAACCAAGAAGCCACATTCCCCTCCCAGCAGACTCATTTACGGCATCAGCTTGCGTTGACTACCAAACTCGCAACATATTATACCTCTCCCAGACGTAACATGTACGCTTGCTCGTCGAGTTTTTTCCCGTTATCTCACGCTCAATGTGTATCTTTGGCCATAGTCCCGAGCTCTCACTAAGTAGAAACGCACCTATCTACGTTCCACCCCTACGCGGTGTTGTAAAGGTTCGTGAGCATGTCTCATCTCGCTGTGTCTCTATACTCATGCCTCAAATTCTGCTCAATAGATGACCGAAACCACAGTCCCTCCCTGGCTGCTTCAGCGTATGAACAATCTGATCCACAAGAAACCCTCACCGTACGAGTCCAGCTTCTACGGGCCCCTAGGCACTCTATTCTCGGAGTACTTTCGGCCGATCGATGGATTCATGGTCAAGTCTCAGCCAAGGATCCGCATGAATTATCACGGAGACGATGGCGATGAACAAAAGGGTAGAAGCGAGGATGCGGATGCGGATAGCGAGGACTATTGGTACATGGACGAAGTCGAGGCACTGCTGGCCGAAAGCAGCGGTGAGAGCAATGGCGAGGGCGACGATGAGTCAGATGCGGGGAACATCTCTCGCGACTCCTCCGAAGCTGTCCTCCATCTCCTTGCCGATAAAGCCACAGGGCTGGAGGACGAGAGAAACGGCGAGACTGACGGTGATGCCAGCGAGTCAAATGAGAACAACGTCTTCCATGACGACTCGGAAATCGTTCTTAATCTTCTGGCCGATACCACCACAGATTCAATGGGCCAAACGGTCACCAAGAAGATGAAGAAACTCGATACCGGAACCCCTGATTTTATTATCTGCCAGGGATCATCAGATTTGCAGTCTGATGTCCCCGTTCTCTTGGCAGAGGTCAAGAGGAACACGGCCACCAGGTCATCCGCCATGACACAGATTCATAGATATGTCTCAATCCTCATGGGAAAACCGAATGCCACGCATGTTGTCGCGCTTCTCATCCTGGGAGCGGAGACATGGGAGTATACCTGGAATGCGGTCGAGAAGCAATGGACGCACGACGATGTTCGTGTCGTGACGGGAGACGAAGATTTCCGCAAGATTCTACAACGGGAAGCAGATAAGAACAGACGCCTCCCGAGTCAGATATCTTGATTCTAAGAGCGTCGACGTATGGCATCGAATTTTGTTTACTTGATAGTGGTAACACATACGATAGTGTCCTATATGCTGTCACTGCCAGAAACATTGGCTTGCGTGGAACACGGACCTCAAATCACGAATTATATCCAGCAGCTTGTATATTGACGTACATGCACCGGAGGCGCATCGTCAGACGTTTCTATTCAGGGGCCTACTTTAGTGATTCAGCACCAACACTGCATGTGGTATACACAGCTAAGATTTGAGAGGAGCGTAGCTGAGAATATGGCAAGCGACGACGCACGCTTCTCTGACTTGAGGATTGTCAGTATGTAGTGTGCTCGTCGAGGCTCAGAACCTGGAAATCAGTTAGCGGTTAAGGGAAACTGAAGATTAAACTGCGACGTACGGCGGCGGCGAAGAGCGGATGGGGCTAGTGGAAATTCCGTCGCTTTGAAGCTCAAAGCCTCAGACTTCGGATTTCGGACTCATTTCTTGACACGAGGTAAGCCTGCAGGCGATACAGAAAGCGCCCGACGTTCCGGACACGGGAACGTGCAGCACGCATTTCTCGGTTATCTGAGCACACACACAATCGCTAGCGGTGGCACTGAATCATGCGTACTGAGCGATTGCTTTTAGTGCAGCAACACCATCCTTCGACTCGAGCAGTCCCTCCATAATATACGCATCCACGTTCAATGTACGCGGGAGAGGATGCAGGTCTCGAAACTAACGTGAGCCGATTGCGTGCACTCGTCTCCAACTAATCAGACAACGTTCAGACCTCCAGTGCAAACGTAGCACGCATCCGCGGGACATCGTAACGCTTCGGTATTAGCTCTTGACCGATACAGCAGGCCGCGTTCCGAGTCAACAGCACGTTATGTGTTGGAGATAGACGGTTGATGAGCGTGCAAGCGGATGTCGTGTCGGCCGTTGCGCGCGCGGCGCGCGCGCCCTCGCGTGGTATGGACATATTCGGACACGAAAACTTATACTTCCGCCTTCAGATAATCGTCTCCTTTTCGCGAGCACACGCCTCACTTGCTCCCATATCCGAGCAGTGAGACGTGAGTTCCTTTATGCCTGTATGTCCTGTATCGGGAGCTCATGTACCGTAGTTACATATTTACTAGGTACATGAATACAGACTTGCTCCCATATCCGAGCAGTGAGACTTACATATTTACTAGGGCCCGACCGGCCGCTCGTTTCATTCGCACCCCGTCCCGCCTCTCGTATACCTTCATGTACGTTTGATGTTGCACAGTGATCATTCCCTCTACCTTTCTCGTATTCTCGTCGCGAGACTGAACAAACTAGGCGCGCTCACGCTTTAGCGAAAGTCGTCCGTACAAACGCATGCAGCTGTAAGCGAAAAACAAAAAAAAAACAGCGCTTCACTCGTATCTGTACGTCTTAGGCGCATGGTCTATGTCCTCCCACGGCAGTTCCAAGTCGGGATCGGGGACGGTCACCCACTCCACCTTGATATTCTCCGCTTTCTCGAGCTCTTCCTTGAAAGCTCTGTCGCCAGGCTCCTCCGGGATCCAAACGCACGAGCCCGAGGTCGCGCGCGGATCACGCAGGAATCTGCGGACGAACAGGATGATGGGCTCTCCATACTGGGCGAGCTCGATCCGGTCGTCCATCCGCCTGATCATGGCCCTGGGCCAGTCCGTCCCCATGACTTCGACTACGGACTTGCGGAGCTCGTCGTTCGCCCAGCCGCGCTGTATCTTGGGCAGAATGTCCGCGCTTTTGTTGATGGGCCAGCCACGGCGCATCGCCCATGTTTCGGCTTCATCATAGCTGAAGGCGTAGCCTGCGACGACTAAGACTCCTCGAGCCATTTTAGTCTAAAGCAAGAGCGTCGGCAACTGAGAAGCAGAGGGAATGGTGCGACGGAGTATTACCGTATAACTTGATCAAGATGCTTGGCTGTCTCGGTAGTGGGGCTGGACAGGTCGACTCGGTTGGATGGGAGCACGGCGGACGCGTGCTCGTTTCTTAAAAGCCCCATCATACCGGGCATCACCACGCATCGCAGGCGTGCCATCGAACTCCGCTCACGGTACGTGAGTACATGCCGTTTCGGTTGCATTTTTTCCGAGCAGGTCTGTCGAGCCAAAAAAGCACTTCCGGTCAAAAAATGTATACCACGTTGGCCAGTGCAGTCCCCCAATCAGCGAAGGCGCGATCGAAAAAGCCAACGTATGATTGAAAACGAATCGGCCAAAGCCACCGAACACGAACTTTTTGGCGAGCCTGAACGGCAAAAAGAAACGCTACTTGGCGTACTGCTCGATCGCCTCCTGCGCGGCGGCGCCGCCCTCCGGCTCGAGCAGCGTCTCCCTCAGATACGCCTCCATGCTCCTCGGCTCCCTCCCCAACAGCTCCACGACGAGCGGGTCGACGACGGCGGCCTCGCCGCGCTCCAGCCCTTCGTACGTCCTCGCCCACGCCCTCAAAAACCCGTCCGTCCGGCGCGCGTCCGCGGGATCCACGTTCCGCGCCACGTACTCGTCCGCGGACGCGACGGAGAGACGGAGGCGCGGGCGGGAGAGGAGCGAGGCGAGGACGGGCGTGAGCTGCGCGAGGGTGAGCGCGCGTTGGCCGGTGAGGAGCACGGTTTCGTTCTCGTGCGAGCCCTGCGCGGCGCAGGAACGTGAACCGTGAGCGGAAGGAGGCGGTGATGGAGCGGTTTACCTCTGCGATGAGCTTCGCGGTCGCCGCGCCGAGGTCGTCCCGCGCGATCCAGGCGATCCCGCCGTCGCCGGGCACGACGATCTCGTCGGACGCGTTGCTCGGCTGCCAGAACCCTGCGGCGGAATCCCCGTCAGCTCTCTTCCCGCCCCCACGCGCATCTCCCATCGGTAAAAGCCGGAGAGGACGAGACAGAGACGTTACCGAGGTAGAGCGGCCAGGATTCGCAGTAGAGGCCCTCGCGGACGACGGTGTAGGTCAGCCCGCTCGCTTTGAGGTAGGCCTCGGTGTCGAGGTGGGCTTGCATCACCGCCGTCGCGCTCTCGGTCTTGTCCCTCCCGCCGGCGAAGGCGAGGCTGGTGTAGAAGACGTGCGCGACGCCGGCCCGCTTGGCGGCGTCGATCGCGGCCGTGTGGTGCGCGATGCCGGGGGAGGAGACGAGGAGGAGGCGGGCGGCGCCGGAGAAGGCGCGGTCGAGGGTGGAAGGCTGGGAGAAGTCGCCGTGCACGAGCGGGCAGCCGGACGGGTGGGTGGGGGAGGCGGGCGGGCGCGAGAGGGAGAGCGTGAGGGAGGAGGGGGGGACGAGGGGGAGGAGGTGGTGGAGGACGCGGGAGCCGAGGCCGCCGGTGGTGCCGGTGAGGACGATCTTGGGGGACTGTTGGGTCATGGAGGGCGGCGGCGGCGGCGGAGGTGGTGGTGGTACGGGAGGCGTGTGCGAGGCATTGTGGTTCCGTGGTCGTCGATGGGCGAGAGGATGAACGTATTATGCGAGCGGCGATGGCGTCACTGCACCCGTATGATTGTAGCGCTGGGCTGTGAAATCTCCCCTAAGTATGGCTGGCCCATGGTCTAAACGTTCCCGGTTCAGCATATCGAGCGCGACGAGAGATGACGCAAGGACGGACGTATACTCGCGATCGTGTATTTAGCTCGAGCGTGGGACGCCTGGCGATTGATCGACTTGCCGTTCGCGACTTTCGTTGTGGTGGACGGACGAGAAGGTTTTGTTTCTACGGGGCTCGTCGACGCGACCCTGAGCACGCTTCCGAGGTGCGTACAACGTCAGCCCCGCCGATAAGTGAGGCACATTGCATCTGCATCTCCCAGGTTCTGAGCTCTCCAGGTCGATGACATCGGCGCCGGCGAGCCGGCGACGACCCGCTTTGATGCATCTGGAATCAAAAAAGATATTGTCTGAATCCGGCCTAACTGCAAACGGGCGTCGAGGGGAATATCCGGGCAAGCGCAATATCGACATATCCGGACCGATACGCTGACAGAGGGTGAGAAGGAAGAGGGGGAGGTGACAACACGTGCCGGCGCTGGCACTCTATTCCTCCGACTTGTCTCGTCCGCCGTCAAATTCAAGAGACTGTACATACACAGCACCAGTGGGAGCGCTGCCGGAGGCTTAGCTCGTAAGATGCCGTGGCGAGGATGGCAGGCCTGGACGGGACAGAAGATCGGCAGGAACGGGCGGGAGAAACCTCAGTCTCTCTTGCTTTCCAGGTCTCGCTCTCCTCGTGCACGCTGCTATAACGTTAGAGAGCCTTGGATGCAGGCCCAGGAGGATCAGAAGGTCTGGCCGGCAACAAACTCTGAATGTCTATCGATCCCCGGGCCAGCCGAAGAGGTCGACTGCGATGCGGTCACCCCGTACAGGCCGCCGTCGCCCGATACAAGTAGTATACGGACGCAAGCAGGCGATGCCGATGGCTTCTCCCACGGTCATAGTCTGCAATCCCGGCCATCACCGGGTCGACTGCGAAAACGGACTAATTGGATACCTCGCGCTGTCATCACCGCGCCGTACCTTTGGTCGCTCTATCTCTCGGCGGGCGAGCCAACGGTGGTCCACCTCTCTTATTACGCGCGGATCGATGATATATTCGACCAGGCGGAGGACGCGGATGCCTTTCTCGTCTGTCTGATCCTGCCCTCCCTCCCTCCTCTTCCCTCCGCCTCCGTCCCGTGATGGAGTCCATGGTCTTCCCCTCCGTCGGCATGCGCGCGCTCAGCGCGACCATCCAGTTCGTCGGTGTGCATCCCCGCTCTTCCGTGTACCTCCACCCGCTCGTGGTTAACGCGCGTCGTGATCCCCGCCAGGCGTCACCCTCGTCACCCACTGCCTCTCGCGCCGCATCGCCGCCGAGTCGCTCTTCACCCGCGACGGCCTCCGCCAGCTCACCTTCGCGCGCGCGCTCATCCTGCTCATGCTCGTCGACTCCTGGCTCTTCGTCTTCACCAGTGCGTACCCCCCCCTCCCCATCCTCCTCCTATTTACTTCGTCCTCGCTCGATCTCATCGGCGCACCCACCAGGCAGCATGGTCATCTTCGGCGCCGGCCTCGAGCTCGACCACGGCGTCTGCTCCGCCGGCATCTACCTCTGCATCGCGTTCTACAGCACCTCCAAAGCGTTCGTCTACGCCTTCCTCGGTAAACCCCTCCTCTGTTTCTCCGCCCCTTTACCGCCCCCCCCTCATTCCACTCCTTTTACAGTCGAGAAAGTGCACATCGTTTGGGGCCCGGTCTACGGCTCCTCGCGCCGTAGTTCGCCCGTGTACTACGTCTGCTGGGTCATCGTCGCCCTCTACGCCGTCGTCTGCATCACCCTCCTCTTCGGTGCGTCTCTCCTCCTCCTCCCCCCACCATCCCCCTCGTCCCATCTGCCGCCTCTCATCATTCCGCGCCCGCTTCAACTGAATCGTCGTCTACAGGTAAAAAGGCGTTTTTCCGCGCCCAAGACGGCGCGTGCGTCATCGGCCTGCGCAGCTTCGCCTCCATCCCGCTGCTCACGTACGACTTGTACGTAACCCCTCCTCCCTCCCCAGCCCCTCCACCTCTCCCAACTCTAAACTTCCCACAGGTTCGTCAACGTCGCGCTCACCACCCTCTTCCTCTGGCCCCTCTGGCAATCGCGCAAAGGCAACACGCTCATCAAACGCGTCGCCTCCCGCACGCTCGTGTGAGCAACCCCCCCCCCCTCCTCCTCTT